CCAACGAACAAAAGTGAAGTGCATTTATTATTCTAGGAGTAAAATTATATAAACAAGTGCCAGGACAACTGCTCAAATATAAAGTTAGTATCCAAGGGCTTTTTTAAAGGCTCCCAGTTCGTTTTTACGCTTAACTAGCCCTTCCTGTATCATATTCCCCTAACTAAGTACTTTATGTATGAAAGCTCAAAAGCAATCATAACAGGACGAAATACGGACCTAATCACGTTAAATCAAGAAATTAAATTGAACCAACGTCCACCCTATTAACATATGTAGGGGTCTTTTTCGAGATTTCAGGAGATGAAATGGTGAAAGTGCTAACTTTATTATTACAGTAAACAAAATATTTTAAAAAAATATATGAGGTAGCGTTAGTTTCGTTCGTTAAAATCATACTTAGTATCCTAGTTCTCTGAAAAAGGCTCGCAGTTCGTTCCGATCAAGCTGGCCATCACCGTCCTTGTCAATGGAGGCAATGAAATCCTTGACGGAGTCTATGTCGAGGCCTGATCCACTGAGAGCGTGAAGAAGTTCCTGGGCGCTCACTTTTCCGGACTTATCGGCGTCCAGATCATCCATCAGTTCGTCGATTGCAATACTAGAAAGTAAGAGGAAAAAACGTCATAACTCACTCTGAACACATTATGCTGCTTGATGTACGGCGTCGGTATTAACTGTGCAAATGAATGATATTATGGACTTTTTATACCGATTGCCATCTGCCATGTCCACTAAAGTACACTGAGTACATTGAGGACATTGAGTCTGATAGGCTGATTAGCCACAGTGCCCTACTATTGGCCCCAACGCCAACTTGTATCGACGCAGGCTGTAGACTATGAAGTCACCGATATTACCGAATGAGCTGTCTTCAAGAAGCGATAACGAAGATAAACAGATTTGAATACGTTTTTTTCGTCCGAAGATCCATATTCACACTCGTACTAACAATACGAGGAAGCTGCAGCTAACGTTGATGGCTGTATTTGCCACAAGTCTTATATCCACAAAAATATCCATTTTATAAGTTTTGCGTCACTACAATAGGGACAAAATTTAGAATAACATCTTTTTCAAGAGCGCTCAATGTTAAATATCTTGAGACACTGGATAAAGACGTTGGTGGCATTAAAGCAGTCCCACTTAACCGGGGCTATCCTGCAGACTTCATTCGAAAGTTCAACAACCTTTGACGGCCAAAATAGGCAGAATAGAGTAGAAAACGACTCAATTACTTCCTAAAACTCGCATTTTCGCTTGTATAGGCGGAATATTCAGTGAGAAGAAAAAGAAGAAGATACGATTGCTGGGACAGGACTCTTATTCACCTGACGTTTCGAGGTCCGTCGCGGATTGTTCCTCAGAGGAATTAGCCTAAACCGTCCCAGAAAGGGCTTATTCGACAGGACCCGACAACACATTCAAATTTAATGAGACGGAAATTATCGCGAGAGGTGGGAGTCGCGAATTTCTTGAGTCATGCTTCACGGGCC